AAGGCCAAGTAGAAGTCCTTATAATTCCCCAGTACTAGTGGTACCAAAAAAGGGTTTCAATGAAGATGGAACTCCAAAACTAAGACTCGTAATTGACTATAAAAAACTAAATGAAAATACTATACCTGATAGGTATCCAATGCAGGACCCTTCAGTGATTTTATCAAATCTCGGAAAAGCCAAATACTTTTCAACAATTGACTTGGAATATGGATTTCATCAGATTCTCATGAACGAACCTGACATACAAAAAACCTCATTTTCAATAAATAATGGGAAATACGAATTCCTAAGAATGCCTTTCGGTTTGACAAACGCTCCTAGAATATTCCAACGAGCGATGGACGATATTTTGAGAGAACAAGTGGGTAAAACATGTCATGTTTATATGGATGACATAATCATATTTTCAAAAACAATTGAGCAACATTACAAAGACCTAATTGTCATTATTAAAATTTTGCTGAACGCAAACATGAAAATTTCGATTGAAAAATCAAAGTTCTTTAAATTAGAAACAAACTTTCTCGGTTACGTTGTTTCTCACAATGTGATCAAAACCGATCCCGAAAAAATTTCAACAATTGTAAAATATCCGATCCCTAAAAATATTCGAGAGCTTAGAAGCTTCCTAGGCCTTACAGGATATTAGAGGAAATTTGTGCAAAATTACGCAAAGATAGCTAAACCATTAACAAAATATTTAGAAGGCCAAAACGGCAAAGTATCTAAAAAAGCATCACGTAAAACTTTAATACAGTTTGATGATTCAGCTGTAAGAGCTTTTAACGAGCTCAAAGAAAATTTAATTGCACAAGTAGAACTAGTACAACCGGACTATAATAAAAAATTTACCCTAACAACTGACGCGTCTGACTTAGCAATTGGTGCGGTTCTTTCTCAGGAAGGAAAAGCAATCACATTTATTTCAAAAACTCTAACCAAAACTGAACAATTATACGCGACAAATAAAAAGGAACTTTTAGCCATAGTATGGGCTTTTAAAAACCTTCGTAATTACTTATATGGGGTTAACAACATCGAGATCTATACCGATCACCAACCTCTTTCATTTTCCATTTCTCAAAAAAATCCAAATATCGAAATGAAAAGATGGTATTCTTTTATTGAAAGCTATTCACCCAAAATAATTTATAAGCCAGGAGCAACAAATGTTGTTGCGGACGCTTTATCAAGGATACAAATTAATAACTTAACGGAAAGCAATGAATCGGTCTCAGATCAAAATACTCAGCATTCAGCAGAGAGTAGTTTTGAGAATGTTATACAAGAAACCCGAAAACCCTTAAACCAATTTAAGCAACAATTGCTAATAGCAACGGGGAGGTATACAATACATGAGTCGATTAATGTATTCGGAAATACTAGACATATAATAGAGTATGATACTCCAGAAAATTTAATATCAATATTAAGAGAATATATTCCACCCAATATAACAATAGGAGTTCACTGTACTCTAGAAGATTTTTATAGAATTCAAAAACCACTTAAAGACAATTTTATAAATACATTTTTATACACTAAGACATTTGTCCAGGATGTCGAAGACGCTGAAGACAGATCCGTGATTATCACAGAAACTCATTGTAGAGCTCATAGAGGGCTTGATGAAAATTATAAGCAAATAACTAGACTCTATTATTGGCCTAATTTATACAAAAAGCTTAAGGAATTTATAAAGAATTGCACAATCTGCAATCAAAACAAATACAACAGACACCCAGTACAGATTCCTATCGGCCAAGCGCCTATTCCAGAAAGAGAAGGTGAAAATTTGCATCTTGACATATATTACGCCCAAAATCTTATATTCATTACTTGTATAGATTCCTATTCGAAATATTTGGTCGTTAAAGAAATCCCTAACAAACTAAATATAGAAAATAAAGTTTCAGAAATTTTACAACAATTTCCATTAGCCAAATCTTTGATGATAGATAACGAACCAAGTTTCTCTTCATCCCAATTCAAATCCTTTGCTCAAAGAAATGGGATATCTCTATTCTTTGCAGATCCTCGACATAGTACGTCCAACGGACAAATAGAAAGGGCACACTCTACTTTAACAGAAATTGCTCGCTGCATTAAAGATGAGCTTAATTTAGTTGACTATTCCGAAATTATTATTAAAGCAGCACAAAAATATAATTTAACAATTCACTCAATAACCAACCAACGACTTTTTGACATACTATTTAATAAAATCAAACACGAAGATATGCCTAAATTATTGCAACAAGCTCAAGAGAAAATGTTGCATTCCCACAATAAAGATAGACAAAATAAGAATTATCACGTAGGAGAGGTAATTTACGAAAAGAAACATGGGGAAAGAAACAAGCTAAATTCTAGATATAAAAAACAAGTAGTTAAGGAAAATCTCCCTAATAAAGTTATTATAAATAACAGAAACCGTACGATTCATAAAGATAATATAAAATAATTTGTTTCAAATTACAGATAATGATTTCAATAATGTACTTATTACTGCTGGTAGCTACAACCAAATCCGAAATTATGGATTACACGAACCATGATTTCCTTCTTTACAAGGATACCAAAGATGTTCTTATTTATGACTCATACGCAGATTTATTTCATATAACTAATATAAGTCTTTATAGAGATATAATTAATCTTGAAACAGAATTTCTGAAGAGTCACGACAGCAACAATTTTCTTTGGGAAATATCCCACGATTTAAAAATTATCCAAATACTTATCTCCCAAATTATACCCAGTAGATCGAAAAGAGGCATTAATGAAATAGGCACTATTTGGAAATGGATAGCGGGAACACCAGATCATGATGATTTCATAACTGTTCAAAATAAAATCGATGATTTAATACAAAATAATAACGATCAATACGTTATTAATTCTAAAATATTTAAAGAGATAAAATCTTTATCTGAAGAATTCAAAACAGCCTTTAAAGATCAAGAAATTCCGCTTAGAAAATATCGTCTGCGTTTGCTTACTTACGATCTTATGAATTTAATGGACACAATTACACTCGCCAAAATCGATGTATTTAATACTAAAATTCTAAACAACGACGATATACAAGAAATTTATAAACACGAAAATAGACCTGTAGTTATAACAGACCTTTTAGATATATCTGAATTTAAAATCGCTTTGCATCAAGATCTTATTATAATTTACATAAAATACCCTATTGTTACCGATCGCTGTGACGTTTACAATTCAAGATCCATTTCACATGATGATGGAAAATTATTAATTGATAATCACGTCGCAAAATGTAGAAATAAGTACTATGTAATGTCTAATTTTAAGACAGAAATATTTAACAATTATTGCACACTTAACCCAGAAGGTTCTTGTTTCACCAGATTACTAAATGGAGAAAAATCTTTTTGTAACAAAATCAGAGAAAAAAATAAAAAAGTAGATGTAATCCAAGATGGAGCCATTTTTGTAAATGGAGAAAATACAGTTAATGACACTCATTTAAATGGGTCATATTTAATTACTTTTAATGGCACCTCTATAATTAATAATATTTCCTACACCAATGTAGACAATAAGATATTGGAATACATCACAGCTCGAAAATATACAGATTTTTTAATATCCGAATATATTATATCTAATGATTCGGAACTCTCATTTGATAATATTAACGTACTAAATCCATTTATTCAAATTAAACAAACTCAAATACCAATTACGTTAATATTAATCATATTAGCATTAATATATTTAATTATTATGATTATAATCAAATTCAGAAAATTTTTAATATTCAAACCATGGCAAATTCGTATAGAAATCGAACCAAAAAGCAATATTTCCGATATTGAGATAAATAATACACCCGACAATGAAAATACCCTAGAAGAAAATATCATTGTCGAATTAACCAATCAATTACATTCAATATACCCAACAGTTCCAATGAATCGGGACGATTCAATTTAGAATGGGGGGAGTTATATGACACATTATTTAGGGGCTCTTACCCAATTTATAAACAACTTTGAGCCGAGAGCTAATTTCCAAAGAACTCTGACAGACCCGAGATAAATCCGTGGTCAGCTATTTCTGCCAAGCAGGCCTCCAAATCATTCCCACCCAGATCAATTTCACGCAGTCCGAATCAAACGGATGCTGTAAACATCCAAACCGATATTGTAAACAATCGGAGACCCAAGCGAGCCCTGAGTCCGTTAACGTAAACAAAAGATCCCCAAAGCGAGTCCCGAGTCCGCTAACGTAAACAAAAAGATCCCCAAAGCGGTCCCTAAACTCCGCTAATGTAAACACCAATTTCCGGCCAAGATTGGACTTCGAATTTAATTGGCAAATTGCATCATCCTATTTTCCGACTCTCTTGAGTCATTCTCTTTATCAATTTTTGGGGATAAAATCTCTTAAGCCGAGGTTTGATTATTGATCATTGAACTAGAGAGCAGGCAGTCCGTTTTTGAGATCAGAATCGAGCAGAACAAATATTCGAGAATAAATACAAGAGCAGTGAATTAAATAAGTTCGACCTATTGTAAAATTGTAATAGTGAATAAGTGATTGTTAAAAATAAAAATAAATTTTTTTAATCAATTCACTAGTGAGAAACTTAATTTGCATGTCCTACACAGAGAGGAAAAACCAAGAACATTGTGATTGAATTGATCACATTCGTTCTTAAAAACCGTGTAAGCACAAATGTTCTTATTTTGATCCGAATGTTCTTGATTCTAGAACGAAATGGTAGGAACTAAAAAAGTGAAATGAGATGATTTCGTTCTATTTTCAAGTTGATTTTGGTTTTAATTTAAGAACATATTTGGATCAATATAGTAACATTTTGATATTGATTTTATTTGAATTTGGGATCAAAAGAAGAACATTTTAGACTTGTAAAAGGAAAAAATGAGCTCAAATCGTTCTTGAAATAAGCTAAATACTAGATTGAATACCCTTCCCAAAAAAACGCTAAAATAATAATATTTGGCTTGTAATAGTTTTTTACTTTTATTGAATTGTAATATATATGGGATATGTATATAATATGTGATTAATTACAGGCTTAAATCTCTTATAACATTAAGGTATATATACAAGCTTATAAATATTTAAATCTAAGGTAATGTTTTTTATTATTTAATAAGTATTTGTGTAAGGGTGCACTAGAGAAAGAAATTATATTTTTAATAAGAATAGGTGAGTCTTCATTTTCATTTAATATTTCATACGCTCTATAATGGCTATCAAAAATTGTAGTTTCTGATTGCTGGCAAATTATAAATACATTTTCATTAACCAGAACTAAATCTACAACTTTATAAAATTCACAACATGTGTACATACCATACATACATACATACGTACGTTTATTTTAGCACAAAAAATGAGAGTAAAAGAGCTGATGAACTTAGGAATTTATACTAACCTTCAAGGAATTTCCTTGCGGACTCCATTTTAATATCCTCCAGGAACTTTGACAACTGCTCGTCACTTTCACTTTCCATTACTTTAACTTTAAACTTTTGCAAACCAATCGAAACGCTGATGAAATGTGCCAGCCGAATGGTTCAGAAGAAGAAGAGCAAAGTAGAAGGGTCTAACGCGTGCTTGCTGTTAACCGAAAGATACTAACGCGTTATAAAAAATCCGCAACACACCATTTCAAGTCGAAATGCAACTCACTTTTCGTTCTATTTTTTGTCCCTCCCGTTCTTACTTTAAGAACATATTGAGATTATTGGGTTTCTGAGAAGAAATTGAAATTGATTTAAGAACCACGTGATAAATGTATAACATTTCGTTCTTGATTTGAGAACAATTTTGGTTTAACCAAATTTTAAGTACAAATTCAACTTGATTCAATCACAAAGAGAACATTTTGAGCTCAAAAAATGCCGTTCTCATTTTAAGAACATTTTCAACTCAGATCAGAACGTCAGAATTCTCTCTGTGTAGGGTTCATCAGTGCTCAAAAACTAGCACGCGTTGAGCGCTTTTTCGAGCACACATTGAGCGCTCGTTGCACATGTTGTGCACCTTTTCATCGCGTAGCAGTAAATATATTTACAGTTTTATTTAATTTCTATATTTTTTTATATTTATTTACATCTTTATTTTAAAATGTTGGCTAGGGGTTCCCGGTCCTAACGGAGTCGTTGGCACCCCCTCGTCAGCATCTGGGGCCGCATTGCCTTCTGCAGCGCCATTTCGGGAAACTCCGAGGGCTCCACCAGAGCGATTGCATCTAGTACTAGTCTATAGTAGCTATAGTCGAGTACCTCGACTATCAGATACCCGTTTCTCAGCTAATGGGACCAAGGGAAAATGGGATTGAAATGCGCCACCTACACGCGATCTCAATATATGGTTATGTAGGCGGTAGACAGATTTAAGCGTTATGGGCGTTTTTTTTTGGTCAATCAATAGGTATTGATGAGAACAATACATTTCAGATTTATTCTAGCATCAAAACTGGAGGAGCGGCCGGTTTGGGCGGTTTATGGGCGTTGGAGTGGGCGTGGCACCCTGCAGAATCTCAGGAATCTGCATGCCTAATCCCAGTATTGTAGCTCTTAAGTTTCCGAGATCTCAACATTCATACGGACAGACGGACATGAACACAAAAATAAGGAAAAATATTATACATACCGCTCGTGTTTAGTCAAAGGCGTTTTGGGGCACTCATTTTAACACTTTCAAAAAATAATATATTATTTCATTATATAAAATATAATATAATATTTCTTTATACAGAAATAAAATTAAAAATAATAAAACAAATTAGAAATAAATAAAAATAAAACAAACAATAAAATAATGTTTATGATAAAAGAAAAATAAGAATATAAACAAAATATAACTAAAATAAGAAGTAAATACATTTTTTTTTTTGTCTTTCGAACCGGGTAGGTGAATCTTCAAAATACATAAAGAGCGCTGCAGCTGTTATATGCCCGATTTTTTAAAACGCCTACAGCCTAACACCTCCCATTTTAAAAGAAAAAAAAAACATTAAACCAATGAAAAATGAAACATGGGAATTAATACTATACTATTTTTTAGAGGAATTCCTACGGCTTTTTTACTATACTCTGAAACTGGAAAACTTTCTAAATTTGAATCCTCCTCGAAAATTCCTTCACAATTCCTCATCATAAAAACTAAAAAGCTCTGAAAATGTTCTACCTAAAATAAATATTTCTCCTTCCTCTTCTATAAAGGATTCCACTTTAATTGGAACTATTTCCGGTACAAACCAAAAATTATCGGGTCAACTCCCGCTCAATATGCAATTTATCATTTTTAATATTTTTTCTTATATTTTAATCTGCGGCCCTTCTTTTATTTATAAGGCGTCCTCGCAAGTTTTTATATATATTTGAGCCAGAATTTGTGTCGGTTTTCGGACAAAACACTTAAGAGCTTGCAAATAATTTTCAAATGCGTAGGACGAACCACTGATCGGATCTCCGACTACTATGATCGTTTCGCATACATGTAGCATGCCGTGAACATTATACGAAATACTGTTTTCGCCAAAAACAGATGGAAAATTGTCTACGAAAACATTTAACATTTCTTGGCTAATGAGAACATTTCGTTGCCGTTGTTTTTCAGAGCAGAGCAATGTATATGCACAGTGTAATAACGAAAATGCATAATATTGCTCTTTCCTCGGCCTGCGTGCAAACTCTTTTTGAATATACTTACTCATTGATGCTAACGTTTTCGAAATAGTTTCCTTTTCAATTTCTGTCAATTTTTTTACGACTTTGTAAAAACTTTCGCATGACACCCAGTTCTACCTGATTGCTGTAAACTCTACAAAAACTTTTTTATTTAATATAGTGCCCCGTGTTTTAATATGTCGGACAACTCCCTAGTAATCTTATCTAAAAACTTATCAGAATCAAAGGTTTTATTATACTCCATAAAAACTCCAATTGGCAAACCAGGGAAATTTGTAATATTGTTTATTTTATTAAAATGGGCCACAATTGTGCACGGGAACTATTAAATAACGGGAGTCCGTCAATATTTACATCAATGCTTAAGAAATCCGGAATATCTTTTAAGACAGCTATTTTATTTAGTTGCTTTGTTAAGCCGATATGCCAATAGGAGCTCATATTTATTTGCATTATATCGGGCTTATTAGAGCTCTTAAATTCATAAACTGGCTTTATTTTTAAATTATGCTTATTTAGAATTGTAATTAAATCAATTTAAGTTTAAATACCATTTTTTAATTCAGCATTCAAATCAAGGTCACTACCAACATCTGCCATTTCCTTATCTGACGTTTCCTGTGATTGTAAATGATAATCTAAGTGCAAACTGATAATACACAACAAACAATTGATTTGTCATTGCTTTCAGTAATCTTTTTATATTTATGAATAACACCAGTTTACAAAAAAAAATTGATGAAATACGCCTTTCAGGAAACCTTTGTTTTCCGGTAAGATACATCTCCCTGATTAAGAAAAGGGCACTTAAAATTTTTTCTATGGTACCAATTTTTTTTAAAGTGTAAAAAACGTTTTTCGCACTTTTTTATTTTATAACTCGAGTTGTGATAAACCGAATTCGGTCATTAAGGACTCATTTTACAGGTAATAGAATGCCCTTTAACTTTCTTATACACATCATTAAGTTCCATTCATTAGTTCAAAAGCTACACTTCGTCAAAGTTGAAAAATTTGGAAAAAAATCAAAAACGCTGGCATAAATGGCTTCTTTAAAAATACACGCGTAAAAACCGAAATTAGTTTTACGTTGTTTTCTTGATGGCTGAACCATAACGGAGAATATGCGCCATAGATCACGACAATCCGTTGGTAAATCGATTTTTAACAGATTTTTAAACGTATATACCCAAGTTCATTATTCGGGAGCAGCGGCCGTTAAACGTTATTTTAAATTTTCAGTGCTGGGGAACGTAAGAATTTGGTGCAAGTTGTTATGCATAACGTCAGTTTCTTTGCTATTAGCGCTGGGCAAGCTAAAGAGTATGCGATTGCAGTTACGAGGAAATCATTTTCATATATTTTTAGCAAGGAAACTGACGTTATGCATAACAACTTGCACCAAATTCTTACGTTCCCCAACACTGAAAATTTAAAATAACGTTTAACGGCCGCTGCTCCCGAATAATGAACTTGGGTATATACGTTTAAAAATCTGTTAAAAATCGATTTACCAACGGATTGTCGTGATCTATGGCGCATATTCTCCGTTATGGTTCAGCCATCAAGAAAACAACGTAAAACTAATTTCGGTTTTTACGCGTGTATTTTTAAAGAAGCCATTTATGCCAGCGTTTTTGATTTTTTTCCAAATTTTTCAACTTTGACGAAGTGTAGCTTTTGAACTAATGAATGGAACTTAATGATGTGTATAAGAAAGTTAAAGGGCATTCTATAACCTGTAAAATGAGTCCTTAATGACCGAATTCGGTTTATCACAACTCGAGTTATAAAATAAAAAAGTGCGAAAAACGTTTTTTACACTTTAAAAAAAATTGGTACCATAGAAAAAATTTTAAGTGCCCTTTTCTTAATCAGGGAGATGTATCTTACCGGAAAACAAAGGTTTCCTGAAAGGCGTATTTCATCAATTTTCTTTTGTAAACTGGTGTAATACATTATTTTAAGAAAATAGTTATTAAAAATATTTATAATGTAATAACGAGATATTAAAATCGAAATAAGTGAACAAAAATGTAGCAATTAGTTAAAACTAAAATTAATAAAAAAACAAAACGATATGTATTTATTACGTTTGTTTTTAATTTTGCAATTTATCATTTTAAATATTTAAATTATATACACTGGTCGGCATAAGTATTTTGACAAAACAAAAGTTAAATATACTCATAATTTAAACTTACTTCTTGTAAACTTTAGGCATCAATGCAAAGGAAATTTAAATGCCGTTTGAATGATACAATACATTTCATAACCCATTCAGTATTTATTGAAAAGGACGAATTTTTTTACGTACACAAATGTAAAAATTGTGGTTTAGTGTTATTAATATTCATTTTTTTTTTTGTAATCTGGTGTTCCCCTTATTTGTAATAATACCTCGACTATCAGATACCCGTTACCCAGCTAAAGGGACAAAAGGAAAATGGAGATATGCAAGCAGCAATGCGAGATTGAAATGCGCCACCTACCAGTGATCTCAATATATGGTTATGTGGGCGGTAGACAGATTTAAGCGTTATGCGCGTTAGAGTGGACGTGCCAAACTTTTTTTTTGGTCAATCGATAGGTATTGATAAAAACAATAAATTTCAGTTAAAACTTTAATTCTAGCATCAAACCTGTAGGACCCACAGTTTTGGGCGGCTTGTGGGCGTTAGAAGGGGCTTGGCACGCTGCTGAAACAAATATGTGCTGCGTAAGAAGCTCAGGAATCTGCATGCCAAGTCCCAATAGCCTAGCTCTTATAGTTTCCGAGATCTCAGCGTTCATCCGGACGGACAGACAGACGGACCTGGCTAGATCGACTCGGCCAAAGATCCTGATCAAGAATATATATACTTTATGGGGTCGGAAACGCTTCCTTCTGCCTGTTACATACTTTCTGACGAATCTAGTATACCCTTTTACTCTACGAGTAACGGGTATAAAAATGTATAACAGTTAAGAGTCCTGATTTTTTGAGTATTGGCCTCAAGCACCGTGGCGACAAAATTAAGTGATTGATTCGCTTTCATGTGGTATAACCAATTGTCATTCAGGACCTCCAACTGGATTGAGTAACTTCTTAGAACAGTTATCAACGGAAGCCAGGGAAAATTTTTCAGACTCACGATCTATACCCACAACCACCTATTGGTCCAACCAAGTTCTTCCTTCAGAAACGTACGTTAAATTGAACCCTTGAGCTTCTAGGCAATAAACTTGTGTATCTTAACAAAATTTACGTGTGCCTATTG